CTGTGGTCTTATAGCTTTAGTTTCATAAATATTTTATTGAATTTTGTATTAATATATTCCAGATGGTACATATGCAATGTATCTCTGAAGTGAATGTAAGGGTATCAAGCAGCACCCACTACAGTGTTGCTCATGCACAGGTAAGGTGGGATCTAGCTTGTGAATAAAGATCATTTATTTATATTACAGCTATGCAACACTTGGATTCAAAGGAAAAAAAAGTGCTTCGAAACACGTAGCCGTTTTGGTTGCCATGATATAAAAAAGATATTGAGATTCTAGAAAGAGTGCACAGAAGATCAACAGAGATGATTAGGGGACTGGAGGCTAAAACATACAAAGAACGGTTGCAGGAATTGGGTAAATTTAGTTTAATTAAAAGAAGAACTAGGGGTGATATGATAGCAGTGTTCCAATATCTAAAGGGCTGCCACAAAAAAGAGGGGGTCAACCTATTTTCCAAAGCACCTGAAGGCAGGACAAGAAGCAACGGATGGAAACTAACCAAAGAGAGAAGCAACCTAGAACTAAGGAGAAATTTCCTGACAGTTAGAACAAAATCAGTGGAACTTCTTGTCTCCAGAAGTTGTGGGTGCTCCAACACTGGAGTTTTTAAAGAAGAGATTGAGTAACTATTTGTCTGAAATGGTATAGGGTTTCCTGCTTAAGTAGGGGGTTAGATTCTTCAAAGCAGCTACAACTTTTTCTAGGATCACATGGCTACCTTCCAGCTTTTTTATCTTTAAATCCAAAATACCATACAGTTATAATATATGTGAAATATTTATATTGTAGAAATGGATATAGAAAACGTTTTGTTCTAATGTTATCTTTCAAAGAAAATAACACGATAAAAAAATTGGTTAGGAACAGATTCTGTTATAATAGGAATGATCCACCTTCTACAGAATGCTAGGCTCTAAGACTGATTTCTACAACTCTTGTAATAAAAGCAAATAATTACTTATCTATATGCAAACTAAGGGATAAGGAATCACATTTCTTATTTATACTATTTTTCTATGGTTGACAATATTTAATATTTCATAGCATGGACTACATCTTCTTTAAATCTCAAAGATTGAAAATAAAATAGGAAAAATGGTTATAGATATTTGTAAAAGAAAAGAAATTCACTAGATAATAAATCAAATGAATAATGGTGCCTTACAACAACTATGCAGTTTTACAACCATTGACTTTGCAAATGCATAATTTGTTATCTACTATAATTTTGTGGTTTTCCCCATTCTAAACAGTCATAGTCTGCTGGTTCTTTAGAAGTATGTGGGACTATTTTATCAGTGGCTTGATTTCATTTCTTAGATTTATTTAGAGATTCACGCAATGAGGTCATATTAAAACCTTTATTTAAATAGTACTCTTTACAGAGCTACAACACATAAAGAAGCATGCATAACTGTAGGCCAGATGGAAATTTAAGGAGGATTTTAATTTTATTGCACATTCCTGTAAAAGCTGTCGTACCACTCTACTACTGTATAATAAGGTGACATAATAAGGATTTGCACCTCACAGTGTCTGCTGGGACTCTCTGTATAAATGTGGCATAGCATCCTCCCCTGAATGTGACTGTGGAATCCCACATTAAACTGTAGATCACATTGTGACTGGCTGTAAGCTGAGAGGACATTCTGTCCGGTATCTATTTTTTTAAATATAAACAATGCTGCACTTCAATGGTTAGATGGCCTAGACCACAGGTCGGCAACCTGTGGCTCTGGAGCCGCATGCAGCTCTTTGAGCCTTCCTCTGTGGCTCCCAGCCTCCCAGCACTTGCACTTCCCTGCTTCTCTCTCTCTCTCTCTCTCTCTCTCTCTCTCTCTCTCTGTGTGTGTGTGTGTTTGTGGTTTTTTTTTTTTGTGTGTGTGTGTGTGTGTGTGTATGTGTGTGTAAAAGAGAATGGACTCATTGTGTTCTCCGGCAAGCTGAAAAGCTTTTTAGGTGGGGCTCCTCCCTTTGCTGCGTCTCTGCAGGAAGCAGGAAGAGCAGAGAGAGCTAGCTAGCACAGCTATGCTGACTCAGGAATTCTGGGAGTTGAAGTCCATTAGTCGTAAAAGAGCTGAGGTTGCCTACCCCTTAGCTTGTTGGAGAACAGCTTGAAGCCAGCTTGCCAGGTGAGCAGAAGATTGGAGGGAGAGAGAGAGAGAGGGAGGGAGGGAGGGAGAGGAAAGAGAGAGAGAAAGAAAGAGAGTGGGGGAAGAGGACTGGCAGACCAAGGGCAGAAAGAGGGGGGGGAGAGAGAGAGAGAGAGAGGGAGAGAGAGACTCTTTTGATATCTAAAATGAAGATAACAATGCATATATCCTTTTTTACCATACATATATACAGAAAGTTTTTCAGACATGTATACATATATACAGAAAGTTTTTCAGATAGACCGGTCTGATTGATTGCACCTTGGCATTTTGACTGTTATACTGCAGTTCTACTTTTTTTTTTTTTAATAATCACTTTTGCCTTGCAGCCCCCCAACTAGGGGCATTAAGCAGGCTCAAGTCGCTACTGCAATACATTACAAATTCAGATTTCTTTTTGCTGACAAAAAGATTTGGAAACGGGTCCAAGTGGCTCTTTGAGTGTTTTGGGTTGCCTACCCCTGGCCTAGACATTAGTATTTGAACACAGATCGTTTTAACATTTATATTTCACTGTATTCTGCTAATCTAGGTAAAATCTAATATATGCATTGCTAGTCCATGTATGATATGCCATATGCTAAATAATTAAATACACTGTATAATATGATGGCATATGTGTTGGTATTTTATTTTTATGGATTTCTTTATGCCAACACAAATGTATGTATGTATGTATGTGCGTATGTATGTATGTATGTATCTATCAAATTTCTATACTACTCAACTCACCTAGTGACTTTGGCAGTTTACAAACAATGTTTTTAAAGAGCTATTCAGCTGATATTTTAGACCGTTTGGTTTAACTTTGCTCATATGGGCAGGATGAGGTATCAATAGATTCTAATCCTCTACAGTAAAGCTATGAAAGTTTCCATTGCAAAATGAAATAATTAAATCAAATCAACCTGGTGATGTAAGGTTAGGTTGCGAGACTGACTCTTGTTCTGTTCTATATTGTGCTTTTATTATTTATTTTATTGAGATAGCAGCTTAAGAAGCATCAGCCAGCATGACCAATAATTAAACAATGCCATTTATCAGGTCCTCACATGAGCACCTTCTCTGTAGCAGGGCCTGTCATAGGAATGAGGTTCCCCCCTCCCATATCCTAATGGCCCTGACCCTGCTTATGTCTTGAAAGCCCTTGAAGACTTGGCTCTTTGCCCAGGTGTTGACAAGGATGACTGAAGCCTCTTTTTAGACTATGTTCAGTTGTTTTCCTTTGTTTTGTCTTTCTTTTTGTCCCTTGTTTTCCTTACTTTTAATGTTCTAAACAATTTGCAATCTGCTCAGAGTTTGTGGGACCTGGGCAGCATATAAATATAAATAACAATAGCAAAAATAACAATATGAAATTTTCTAAAAGTAAAGGAATAAGAAATATGGGAAGAACTGTTAGTAAATGCACAATAGCATATAATACAATTTGTTAGTGGACTAAACTATGTTTTCCCCGTAAAATATATCCTAATGATATTTTTAGTGTTTCCAGAAAGACAATTCCGTTGTGAATTGTAAGTTATTACTAACAGCATTACCAGAACAACTTTGCAACCTCAATTTTATCCCACCCTAATGTTCCTGATTTCATCTCATTTCTAGGAAGCTTATCCTGTTTTTTTTTCCCATGCTACAAAAACACTACTCAGATGAAAAGTTGACTACAGCAAGCAGAGATGAGGCTATCATTATACCAATAACTCTTTTGATTGCCACAAGTAAGGACCAGCTTCCACTCTTCTGTTTACTTTAACAAGAAGTAGAATCTAGTTTCCTTGTGATTAAACACATTAGCTGGAGCACAACAATACCAAACTTCCAACAGGAATGGAACTTTTCTAACTATCTTTCTTTAAAGCAACAAGATTTTTTTTCTCCTTCATAAACTTTATACTGAGTCAAGTAAAGTTTAGATTTAAAATTATAACAAGGAAAAAGAATAAACTATAGGCTTCTGACATAGAACCAGATAAAGGCTTAATGGGAATATAATGAGAAATCATGGTTTTCTGTTACAACAGCTGCAGTAAATCTTAGTCACTATGGGCTTTACTTTAATCATATTTATTCATGACATTAAACCTCAAAGGACTATTACTTGTTTAAACTAAGGTTTGAGAATAAGTCAGGATCTGATATAACAATTTCTCAAGCTTAGCTGTCATGGGAATTGCAATTTCTTTAAAACTCCAGATGGAGAAAGATGGAATTCTTGCCACAATTCTTTGAAATATTAAGAAATCTTGGTTTGCTAATATGTACTGTATACGTTAGGTACAATACTGAACGCAGCTGTCAGGAGGAATCTAAGGAAGCCAGTTTCATTTCAGATGTAAATTCATTCAAATATAAGTAGATTTTAAGCTTCACTGAGCTGAAATCAAAGGATGTATCTAGAACAGGGGTGTCAAATTGCCGGCCTGCAGGCTGGATGAGTCATGGCAAAACCGTGCCCACCCCAGTGCCAGCAATGGAAAAAAAGTCAAGATACGTCACGACTCATCACGTGATGTTGCGAGTTTAACACCCCTGATCTAGAACAAACTCTCTGCTATTATTTCTTAAAACTGTTGATTTATTATGCTTTTAAGATAGTTCTGCTTAGGAACTTGGCTTGGGTTTTTTTTTTTTCTTTCTGATTTCTCTATTGTCTTCAGTTGTTTTTTGTTTTTGAAAATAATATCATGTTTAAAAAATAAGTAAAACAGTATGTGCTGTGACAGGCCAAAACCAGGGCTGATGAACTAAATAAAATGATTTATCAGTTCTGTAATATATATTCATTTAAAATTAAAAATGAAATTATGTTACAGTTAGGAAATAATTGATAATTCTCACCTGAATTTAAATTTTCATGTCTGCTTAGCTTCCTCTCTTCGGCAATTGTAACTCTATAACTGTGTTGTATAAGGATTTGTTGATATAACGGAAGATCCTGTCCACCGCTAGAAGAAGGGATGTGCAGTATGGCTTCCCCAGCTTTGTGACTGAAAAGCTTAAAACTGGTATCCTCAATCTGAAACAAGAAACAGAAATTCATGCATTATAATAAGCAATGAATGCCAAGGACCCTGAGATGATGACATAGAAAACTAGATCTCTTTTTCCTTACAATTGTTTCACAGAACCAAGTTATTCACACAATCACAATAATCACAGGTGAATGTGGGCAATGGTCATTTAATGCCCTGCTGATTCCTTCTGAACTCCCTTTCTTACCAATAGTAGTATTCCTGGAGAGGAAGCTACAGGTAGTCCTTGACTTATGACCATACTCAGGACCAGAATTTTGATTGTAAGATAATATAGTCATTAAATGAGTCATAAGATAACCAGACCTGATTTTATGACCATTTTATCACAGTCGTTAAGCAAATCACAAGGTTGTTAAGTGAATCACACAGATGTTAAGTGGATCCAGCTTCCCCAATTGATTATGCTTATTGGAAGTGCCAGGAAAAGTTGCAGATTGAGATCACGTGATTATAAGATGCTGCAATTGTAAATGCAAGTCAGTTGCAAAGCACCCAAATTGAGATCACAGGACCATGGAAGTGATGTGATAGTTGTAACTTTAAGAATAGGTCAATAGACATTCTTTCCGATGCCATTGTAACTTTGAACCATTGTTAACTGAATGGTTACAAGTCTACTTTATTTTGACAATTTTTGGCATATAGGCCTGACTACAGCTTTCTTGTACCTGGTAAATTGCAGGGAATTGGGCCACAGCACTCAAAATTCATTGGTTCACTATAGCCACAGAGTGCTAAATTAGCAAAACAAGTCCTACCCCAGAGTAGGCAATCTGTGATACTCTCAGTATCACTGAATTGTTATGTATAGCATCTCTAGAAATTTGTCCAGTTATAAGGGTGCTAGGAGCTGTTATTCATCAATATTTGGAGGGCTACAAATTGTTCACCTCTGCCCTGTGCAGTACTTTACCAAATTAACAAGGAGTGGTGCATATTTCTGATCACAGGAATCTTAAACAGATGATTTGTGTAAAATAATAATCTCATTGTTGATAAGTGAGAACATGAATGCTGCATACCACTTAATCAACACTGAGGATTTTCATAGTGGTGCATAAAATTCTGTGTTCCATTTGTAACAAACAGCTTGTTCAACCTAAGCATCCCATGATCTAAGACATACAAAGGCAGGCATAGAAGGCCAAACTAAACACATTTTAAATGGAATCCCGGAAGAAGGGAAATAAAATGAAGATTGCTTCAACTGGGGTGGGGGATAATTAATGAAACTGCAAGTTTAGAAAGTGGATTTATTTTTTGCTACAGTTTGCAGAACATCTTTCTTTTGAAGGTAGCATTTGACTACAAATTTATTATTCCCTACAAAAGATAAAACTGGAAGTAAAAAAAAACTGAATAATCAAAACTTTGAGATTATTAAATGACTGGCATGTTTACCAGAACTATTGTGCAAACATGTGATTATGAATTTCAGAATGGGCATTGTTCAACAGAAGAAAGGCAGATCTTTCAGGGTAAACAAGTCTAGTTCAAACTGCTTTGAACTCTTGATTAATCTGGTAACCTGGTGGTATAAAGTAATATTCACAACAGTCTTTTTATCAGTTACAGGAAGTTGCTTTATGTTACACTTGGCTCAAGTGTTAAATTATGTTCAGGAAGGAGACACATACTGTAACTTGTATAACCTTTGATGAATGACTAATACTTGTCTAGTTTATTATAGAACACACTTCTTTTCAAATTAAAACCCATGCTTCTATTATTTGTTAAATTATCATTTTACTTTTTTCTATATGTTTAAACTCAAGACTATTAAAATATTTCCATCTAGTGCACTGTGTTTATAAGCAAAAGTAATAGGAGTGAAAAGGAAGTGCACGGGAATAAAATTACAGTCTTGTAAATATATCCGCTCACTCTCCTTGCCATATTTATAACCTGTTTGACTAATAGTGAGGAATGAAATGCTGTTTATCCTCAAAGCACCCCTTCTTCTGGAACAACCTTTGTCTTTTTTTATCCTGTTCTGCTTCTACTTTCTTATGTTTTCCCTTTCCTATAAGACTATTGTCAATTTGAGATCTTCTAAAATCTAGAGCTTTTCAATATTGAGTACAAGCAGTCTCAGAAATAATAGGATAGCCAAAATCAGAACAATAATTCTGGAAAAAATATTTAAATTGTTTTTAATAAATGTATTTAATAAATAATAATGTATAAATATAAATAAATAAAATGTATTTAATAAATACCTATATACAGAATATAATAAGTATATTATATAATTATAATTATGTTAATGACAAGGTGGCAATATCAAGGAATAGTATAATAGAAGACAAAGAACTGGAGAAGATTACAAAGTATTACGATCTGAAAATGGAAATTGAAAGATTATGGCATCCACAGGCAGCGGTGGTCCTATTGGTATTGAGAAGCCTTGGACACTATTTAAAACATCTGTGCATTGAAAAAATGTACCTGTCAATTACAAAAGGCCATGCTTGGATCTGCACATATACTTTACCAATATATTATGACATCCTAAGTTCTTAGGAAGAACTCAATGAGAATGAAAGCCATCACCAGCTAAGAAACTTGTAGCAGTGAAACAATTGTGATGACTGATATTTATTTGGGTGACTGCTCCATTACTTCCTGCATAATGCAATGTGTTGACTTTGACCAGATTCCAAATGCCAGAATACAAAATTCACTTTTGAAATTCAGCATAAGAGTAATGAGGAGAAGTTTGGAAGAAGTGGATTTTTATGGAAAATCTTGCTTCCTCTTAGATTCAAAACAAAGCTGAACAAACGTATTTTGCACAATTGAACTGTATCTTGATTTTTGCAGCATGCACACTACATAAAGCTAATACTTCTTTTAATAAGAGTGGAAGACTTAAAATGCAATAACTAAAAGCTGAAATAGATGTCTTTAAATTTTGGAGCCAAAAGACTAACATGCTCTGCATTTTTATTGGAGTGTGGTCACATATGCTTTCCTTGATAGAGCATATAGCAATGTATATATGTGTGTAGAATTTAACCATGAACATTGGGTCAGGAAGAAAGAGTTAAAAACTACATTTCCTTCTAAATGCCAAACTTGTGATACCATTGCTGAGCTGATACTCGAGACATTTCATAATTCTTATCTATTCTTACATCTCTTTCGGTCAGCAGTAATTTGCCCCTCAGAAAAGAAGATCATTTATAAAAATGTATTAAGATGTTATGTTATACAATCAGCCCTTGATTTGTGACCAGAACTGATTGCTAAGCAAAGCAATTGTTAAGTGAATCATCCCCAATTTTACAACATTTTTGCCCCAATTGTTAAGCAAATCACTGCAGTTGTTAAGTGAACCACACCATCATCAAGAGGATCCAGCTTCTCCCATTAACTTTGCTTGTTGGAAGCCGGCTGGGAATGTCCCAAATGGTGATCATCTAACCTTGGGACATAGCAACCATTGTCAATATATGCTGATTGCCAAGCACCCGATATTGATCACATAACCGTGAAGATGCTGCGACAGTTGTAAGCGAGCAGACCAGTCATAAGTCACTTTTTTCAGAGTCATAACTTTGAACAGTTGCTAAATGAATGGTTGTAAATTGAGGACTACATGTACTTCAAATCAACTTCAGTGAATTATGATAGAAAAGCTATATAAGGAATCAATTTTGCCATGAAAAAATTGAAATAATATGGGAATTCAGGGCACCCATTGTTACAACAATATCAAACAGCTGCTGAATAAATGTGCATTTGACAGAAAATGGCAAAATTTGATCATGTTTGATTTTAGAACCAGATTCGTTCAGGAACCAAAATCTAAGCTACGTTGAACAGGCTTTGACAGCATCTCTAATTTTCACATATAAGGCCTTATGCTACCTAAATGCAATATTCCTATGATTCATCTCCTATGATCCAGTGGAATGTGACAGATGGAAGAAAGTTTTCTTGAATTTACTATCTAAATGCCAGGTAAGAAGAGCCAGCAAGGAAGCACAAGAGACAATTTTAGAAACTGTGTACCACAGTTACTATCTGGGAGACAGCTAAAGTCTAACTATTTTCACACCGCACACAAAATCTTTTGATTCATGCTAGCTTTTGTTAATTCAGTTAAGTCAAAGAACACCTTGTACCATGAAGCATCAAAAGTTTGGGATTAAATTAGTCTTTGTCCTGCACATTGCTCTTTTTTATAACAACAAATATATTCATTTTAACTGACTGAAGAACTGGGATGTTAAAAATAGCATCCAGACACCAAATAGAGCAGTGTTTCTCAACCTTGATAACTTTAAGATATGTGTGAACTTCACCTTCCAGAATTCTCCAGCCAACATGCTAGCTAGGGAATACTGGGAATTGAAGGCTACATATCTTCAAGTTGCCAAAGTTCAGAAATGTTGGAGTATTTAGGCCACTGCCCCTTTAGGTAGCTGAATCTCTTCACTAAACTCTCATTTCTTCCCACATTAGTTAGCTTTAAATTGCTTATGATTACATTTGGGGTCTTAATTATTATCATGGGCTTCTCTGCATTCTAAATGAGGTGCTGAAGACATTGGAACAAACTCTTTGGTAAAGATAAGTATATTCTGGGTTCACTACTCTTTGGATACAAAGAGGTATGATAGGATGAATTTTGTCCTGAAACCTACGTATAAGTTGCTCAATTTACAACTGCCTAAATCTGACAGGCTATTTCAGTAATGGCAAAGCTTTGGGGCTTGATGTGTCAAAAATTTAGAAAATTTTGACTGGTGGCATGTTATACCAATGTCACTCAAGGATATTAAGCACACTCACTAAGGACACTCAAGTGGGTGATTTCAAATCTTAAAGAATTAATGAAAAATAGAGTAAGTAAGTACATAGGAACAAAAATAGTTTATGATTTTAGTAACAACTCTTGCCAATTTGGCAGTTTCTGTCAGAGGTTGGACTACTATGTTTGTAAGGTTAGACTACCATGTTTGTAAAACATTTT